GGACTATTCCTTTAATTTACAACGCCTTTAGATTTAGTTACATCACATTTAAAATAAGAAATCATCTTGTGTATCTTTATGTAATCCATCTGCAACATTTCAAAGATCTACGTCAAGGACTTGGCCGTGTACTCCAGCACCCCCTCCCCTCCTTTAGCCTTCTGTGAACTGACCGGTGTGTCTCTCCTTCTCTCGGCCAGGTTTAGGTTTCAGTATCCTCCACAACAAGCAGGAATCCTGGAAACAACCTGAGGTCAACGTCTGAGGTCAGCCTCTCCTCCTCTTACTCCCCAAGGCTTCACTGGTCTCTGCTCAACATACCGAGATGAGGAAAGGGATTGAAAGTCTAATAAACATCCACTAAATATACTGCATGCGTAGCAGATCATGTGGGGCTGAACTTCTGAATCAACACCTTCTACTCTGGCTTCGATTACAGCTGTAGCATACTGGGAAAAGAAACAATTAATCAACTTCCTACCATAAATGTTATCTTTAATGACTTCTAGTTTGCAAATAATCGAATTCAACCAAATTTTTTTCCATGATGGTGCAGTGATAAACTACTTTCCAGTAAATATCACATCATTTTGATTTCCCTCGAATCCTAAAAGTTCTCTTCCAGCTATCAGTTTTCAATTTTAAGTCGTTAACGTTCATCTGGATGTACGTCCCACCCTCAGGTTTTCTGTCAGCCCCGTGACTTCTTGAGTCTGCCTTGGTTCTTTTGCGTCGTGTGAGTTTCAAACAACGCAAGCAGCGGTGTGGTATATCAGAGCATGGGCGTCTTCCACATGGGTTGGCACAAAGTCATGCCAGCAAATTCAAAACTGATGCTTGCCTCCCTTCTCCTCCCCTTCTCCTTCTCCTCCTCCTCCTCCTCCTCCTCCTCCTCATGTAAGAATTTACAGTGATTTGCTGCGGGAGGAGAACGGCAACTGTAAATATTTGTGAATTTACAGAGGGGTTTGTTTTATTCTTCTCGCTTACTAAACTGGCCTGAGCGTCAACATGACCTCTGACCTTCCCCTGAACCCATAAACTCCTCCTTCCTGAGAGCGATTCAACAGGTTGGATAGAACAATAAACCAATGCCTTATTTGCACAGACTTTCTTTCTCTCGCCTCTGTCTGCTCCCTCTTCTCTCTAGGTGTCCCACTCTGAAGAGAGCAAGATCAGGTCATCAGTGTGTTGAGCATAGCAGACATACTTGGGAGCAGACTGAGGCCAGGCCGAGACTGTACACTACTGTGCTGGGTTGTGAGCTATCTGTGTGTCTTTGTAAAGGTGACTTCCCCGACCTGGCTCAGTCACCAGCTCAGTGTGGGTGTGCGTGCGTGCAGGAGCATCTATTACCTTTAAATATATCTAAAGCCAAGTGCAAGCACACGCCTAAATCTAAGGCGCACAGCGGGGGATTAAAGTGGAGACCGTCTGACGGGTTGAGAGAGCAGCCAGATCAAATAAGGAGCAACATATCCCAAAAAGTTTTTTTTCTATAAACTGTGGGTTGAGACTTAGCTGAGCAGAGTTACTGGACCCAGAACAGTGAGGGCAAAGGAAAGGAGAGACCGAGAGGGAGTTGGCGAGAGGGAATGAGAGCTGAGCCTGCTAGGCCAGGCAGTGTGGGTGGGCTGAGGTTTTGGGGTTTAACAAGAAAGCTTTCCAACAACTTCATTCCGCTATTTTACATTTTTTGCTTGATTGTTGCTTGGCTGTAAACAAGCAGATGAGTCCCCTCCCAGCTGCATTGAACTGAGGTTTTAAGTGTGTGCTAGCGCTGCACTGCTGTCATATATTTGCCTGAAAAACATTTACCTCCGGCACACCTGTTGAACCGAGTAAACAGTCCAAATAATCAAGTGATATTCCCTCGAGTGGTAATTTACAAGGCCCTATTCGAACATTACCGACTTAAACACACACACTATATCTATACCTCCAAATCAGTGTGTGTGTGTGTGTGTGTGTGTGTGTGTGTGTTGAGAAGAGGTCAGCGGTCACTGTTTGGCTCTGAGTCCCACAGACCTCCTGTTATTGTTTTCAGTGGCTTCACTTTTAAGGCCGCCTTGGCAGTGATCACATTTCTCTCTCCCTGCTCACACACTCTCTTTCTTTCTTGTCCCTACGCTAAAACACACACACACACACACACACACACACACACACACAGAGGGGTTATTTATAACGGGGTGGAAGGGGAAGGCAGCCTGGCCTCACAGGGCCTATTTTGGGAGGTTCAGCCTTCAATCAGTCAGGCTGACAGTTTCTCAGTGATACCAGGAGAACAATACAGAGCAGCCCGTTTATCTTCCTCTGGCCAGCCTGTCAGGCTCTGCCTCCCTGCCTGGGTCACTGTCACCCTGCCTCCCTCCAGGAAAACTGGACTTCCAGGACAACAGTCATCTCAAAATCTGTCACTTTATAACCGCAGTTAGGCTCCCAAAAAGCTCCTCTATTAATACTTTCTCCACCCGCTGTCATTGTAGCAAACGGGTAAATCTCCTTGGCTTCAAATCTTATATTTCTCTATAACACAAATATTCATGACTAAATACGGAGAAACAAAACATAAAAAACATCTTCAGACATAATTTTATAAAGACTATTTTGATGATCAAATAGATGTTTTAGTCATTTGTTTTGATGGTTTTAAAGTCTCAAATGTGATGATTCGATGCATTTCTTTGTCACAAATTATAGTACTCTGAATATCTTTTGGTTTTGGACTATTGTTCGGACAAAACAGCACATTTGAAGACGCCAACTTGGGCTGTGGGAAATTATACACAGCACTGATTTTCTGACATTTTATAGGAAAAACAATTAACTGAGAAAAGATAACTCGGTGATGAAAATAATCGTTAGTTGCAGCCCTGGTTGACAGTGACCAGACAACCAACCATCTGCCATCAAACTCTGATTCAAATGTTGCCAAATCCTGATTGGTGCACGCAAGCAAGGGACATCAACTTTCCCCAGTGAAAAGACCACGAAGAAATAGAAAAACAAAGATTTTCTCATGTGAAATAATAAAACAGTTGAGAGTTCACCATAAAATAGTGTGCTCATGTAGAACTCCATCACTCAAAGTAAGAAGCTGATGGAGAAAATACATTTTTAGGGCTTTCAACTTTTAAGAGATGGACAGTTCTTTATGGTTTTCCCATGAAGACTTTGCTCTTACGTATATTAAACGTCTGTAGATATCCATCTCTGTCTCCCTGAATGAACTATCATTACTGTCTCACAATACACTGTACTCAAAAGGTTTTCTTCTTTACTGCAGCCCCCCCCCCCCCCAAAGGGGTTTGATAAACCCCTTTAGCTAAAAATAATTTCCTATGAACTCTGAGTGACTCCACCAGTTGAATGAAGGATTGCTTTGGGTGTGTGTGCATGTGTGTGTGCACAAAGCACAGATAGTATGGGCAGAGGGTGGGAGCAGTGAGATTTTGTTATCTACAAAGTTAAGACTTCAGTGTTTACTGGAGCTAATGGTTTGTGTCATCACTACCCAACTACTGTGCAATGCTGGCCGGTAGCTGTGCCGTATTTTATCTTCCCATTTAGCACAAAGCCAACAGCAGGGAGTACTATAAATACACATCTTGATATAGTATGATATCAAGAATAAATCTGTGAGAAAGAACTTAAAGGGTCAATTCACCCAAATTCCAACAATATTTTCTTTCTTACCCCTCGTGGTATTCAGCCATATTTGGTTTTGCCTGCATGTGTTTGAGTTATGAATGTTGTGAGAGAAATATCTCAATGGATTATCATTACATTTGGTACAAACATTCATGTACTCTCAGGATGAATTGTAACAACTCATGAAGTTAAAATTTCAATTTGCCAAATACTTCATAACCAAATACCTGCAAAACTAATGATTCTCATCAGAGTTCAGCACTTGCAAATATTAGCATGCTAACACGCTAAACTAAGAAGGCATCAACATGTTAGCATTTATCTCAAAGCGCCGCTGTGCCTGCTAGCATTTAATTGCCGTGAGCGCCCCAAACCTAACATTTCATTCACATCCATTCAATTTGGGTGCCAGCAGAAACCTCAAATGGCCATTTAAAAACCTCATAAAAACCAAAAATATCTACAAATATGCTACAAAATGATTTTTTTAAGGGTGAACTGACCCTTTAAGACCATACTGTTGCATCTCAGGTCTTCTGATGGGCGCCTGCGATTCCCCCACTTAGCATAAATAGCAGCAACAGACTGTAAAGAAATAGAGGATTTAGTGGCATTTCTGAATACATACACAAGTACAAACATACAATGACCATAACTTCTGTTTTATACATGGACATCCCTGTTTTAGTCCAATCTAGAGTCAATTAAGACCCTCTTTCAATCTGAGGTGACCTGCGTCTGACTCCCAGCGGAGGCTTGTTCCTGAACCTGGCTCACCTTTCCTCTCTGGCCCACTAAATGATCTCCGGAAGAACCAAACACACAATCTGTTCTACCGGCTTCACAACCAGCTTTGTTGGAGCGGCTGCTTTTGTCCAGTCATCTCAGTTTATTCTCTCCGAGCGGACACCTCCCTCTCTCCCCCCGTGTCACTGTTGTGACTGATGTCTTTTCCATCCTGCTGCCCTCTCTCAATTAAAAAGGAAAAAACGTCCAATCTTTTTGACCTTTACCTTGACTTGGCTGTTTCCACTAAACACACATGAAAACACACAGTCCTGACACCGCTGCTCTCTCTCCTATTTTAGTCAAATCCCCCTCCGTATCCTCCCTTTCTTCCAGTCTCTTAAAGGTATGCCTGGTTTCTAATCTGATATCATGACACAGACGTACGTAAGCGGGAGGTTCGCATATTTAATAGGTTTTAGTGAACAAATTGCAGCCGTCGTGGTGTAATGCTGATATTAGACTGATAGAGATCTTATAATGGCCTTAAAGCGCTTCTGTACTTTTTAGGACACGGATTTAACAGTGGATGCCATTAATGGACAAATCAACAAGTCAGGAATCTTTGATATACTTTTATTACAAATTTTAGCAGCCATCTCTTGAGACAAAGCCACGGTATAACAGCTTGAACATGTAAAACAAACACGTTTTTCATCAGAACTCTTCTAAGTTGCTCCTGGTGTCTCGTAGCCGTGTGAGGGATGTCAGCACCTCCTCTGTCGGCCTTCTCCCCAGCTGCTTACCTCCTCTGCACCGGACATTCACTGTTCCACTCTCGCTCTCCTTGTCCCCCACCACTGGACAAAAAGAAAACGTTGTCATTATCAGCTGTGGTAACTTCAGTAGCAATAAATAAGGTGTTTCAGGCTTCAGTACATTAAGTCGCCACAGTTTTCATCCAAGTATTTATCTTTACCAAATATGTAGTTGTACTGGGCGAGCTGAGCAGAGCGAATCTTCTTATTTAAGGTTGCTCCCTGATCATCATTCAATTCCGCCATGAAGCCAGCTTCACAGAACTGCTGGACCACCTTAACAGAAGAGAGGCACTTCTATTAAGACTGTATCTGGACTGTAACTTACAGTTACAAGCAAATTAATAATGACAGAAAGAACCGCACACATGGTCTGCTGATGTACCAGAAGCACATCTTCATCGGACACTGACCTGTTTGCTGTATGACTCACTGTTGCCCCCCACAGGAATTACCATGACTTGCGCTGGCGATAGCCACAGCGGCCTGCGTGAGGTAGAAAGAGAGGCGACGCGTTTGGGTACGGCTACTGCATCGTAACAGCCTGACGAAATGCATCGGACTCGACTGTGATTATGTAACATCTTCTCACCATTTCCCTCCAAAGTTTTCAGCCAGTATAGCGATCATCCTCTCCAGTGATCCCAGCACTGCTCTGTGGATCATCACCGGCCTGCGCGACTGTCCGTCCGCACTGAGAAAGACAGAAGACAAAAGGGTTACCATTAGAGTGAGTGTCGGGTGACAGGACAGTATATAATAGATAGATACTGGATTTGCATTAGTTTGCAGCACAACCTCAAAGTGACCATTAGACTGTTGCACTTAGCAAACAAACAACAAATGGTTAAATCACATTTGTTGCAAATCACTTGGCAATCTTGTTTTTATGTGTGATTTCTTTGCATCAATGCGATAAAGTATTTTGTAAGTATTTGCTGGATTAACGATGTAGCCATTTTAAATGGCGTATACCGTGATAAATACCATAAAAACCACATTGAGACCATGTGGGAAGTAGGGCACATGCACTATAAGAGGCAGAAAGAGGTTTCACGCAGACACAGGGAGCATGTTGAACTAAAGTGATAAAATAAATAAGAGGACTTGTCTTTCATGATCAAATTAGGTCCCATTAAGTGAGACTTCTGTCACTTTAACGTGATCACTTACAGGACATCACATACAGCATGTGGGGTCATCAAACAGAGAAGAATATGCTCCAGAAATGCCAGTGAGCAGATGTAAATCACTACAGATGCAGGAATGTTTCAGAGATTGCGAGCCAATTGCAGAGATTTATGACTCACCCGACATATTGAAGGTCAAAGCGGATCGGCAGCTGGAAGTCCAACTGGATCGTGGCACACTGGTGTTGTCTGCCAATAGCATCTTTGATCAGAATGTCAATCTATGAAGAAAGGTGTATGAGTGCGTTAGCATGAGGCTTCACTTCTCTATTCGGACACTGCGGGGGACAAACTGCATTTTTGTGGACAGAAATGGAAACAAATGAGTTTCCAGGAGAAGCCGATCGTGCAAATTGTGGCCAACACACCCTAGCTGGATGGCTCTGAGGAATGTTTGTTTGTTACATGGAGCGTGTTACTGTGTATCTAACCCCACCCTGACTTGACCTACCTCCACCCTCTGTGCCTCCACATGAGCTCGATCGTGCAACATCTGCCTGAAGCTGACTCCCTCTTGATGCTTACTGACTTCTTGCACGGGTAAACATTAAAATTAAAAATCGCCTCGAAGAAAACCACGGTCATTCTCAACAACTGTCACACATTTCTGGTTTGGTTGGCAATCGTGCGGTCGAGGACGGTGTGAACTGTAACATGCAATTCTCAAAAATGTCTCTCTGCGGAGCCAGAAGGACAACAGAGACGTCTGTGCTGCTCTCTAATCTGTGAAGAAACACCAATAAACTGATTCTGGAAGAATGCTGTAGATAAATCGACACTATTTTTAAAGTTTCAACAGCTTGGGAAATAGGAATGTGTGTTTTCTTTCCGAGATTGAAGTGAAAACATTGATACCACACTCAAGTTAAAAATGAAGCTACAGCCAGCAGCCAGTTAGTTAGTTAACATTATTAATCTCCGGAGGGAAATTACATAAACCATAGCAGCCAGACTCTGGAGCTCAATCCAGGTCAAAAGTTTTGTTCATTTGAAAAAAAAATTGAACCTAAAAGTTCAAGTTGTGGATTTGAACATTGGAAAATACAGCAATGTATTCACAATAAAAAATAAGTTTTTATTTTTGGGTTGAATATAATTTTGATTCAGTTCTAGAATCTTTTTGAATACATGTTTTTTTTTTTTCATTTTTCACTTTCATATATATTTTGATATTCGAGTTCTTATATTTTTCAGTTTCAGGTTTTATATTTTCAGATTCAAATCCAAATCTTTTTTTCACTTTCAGATCGTTTTTTTCCAGTTCAGACTTTTGACTCTGATCTAACGTGGGGGGCGTGGCATCAACTAGGAGGGGCGTGTCATCATGAGTGAGCATAACAAAGAAGGCTGAGGACCTTCCTCAACCACGTTGCCTTCAAGTAACGTAGGCACAGCGACAATTATGATTCAACACTTTCTATACACCATATTCCCGTGAATGCAGGGGGGGGAAACTCCCCCAGCTATCCTGAAGGAAACTTCGGAGGGAACCAGCTACTGGTTCGATTAGTCTTTCGCCCCTATACCCAGGCCGGACGACCGATTTGCACGTCAGGACCGCTACGGGGACTCCACCAGAGTTTCCTCTGGCTTCGCCCTGCCCAGGCATAGTTCACCATCTTTCGGGTCCTATCGCACACACTCCACCTCCCCGACGGTTCGGGCGAGATGGGCCGTTGGTGTGTCCGACGCCGCGGGGTCAGGATCCCACCTCACCCGGCACGCTGGCCCTCACTTTCATTGCGCCACGGGGTTTGCTTCACCCTCTGATTCGTGCGTGCGTTAAGACTCCTTGGTCCGTGTTTCAAGACGGGTCGGGTGTGTTGCCGACATCCCCGCAGACTCCTGACGCCTTTTACTATAACAAAGATTATAGTGAGACATGAAACTAACAATATGCCGATAAATATATGTTGGAAAACGTTTTATGAATCTATTTAGGAGTAAAAGTGTAACTCAGTTATCTCAGCTAAATGTTTGATTAAATATTATGGCACTTTGACATTCACTGGTCTTGGCCCTCGGCGTCCAGAGATTGCTCTGCCGCTCCGGTGTTCTATAAATAACCGAACGATACAGCTCTCCAAATTTACAAACAGTCCAGGTTTGTGGGAGAGTGCGCTCCGGCGCTCAGAGTATTTATGAACTTTAATAAACAATATTTACGCTTGCGTGTGGAAATCAGTTTCCTGCATGTTTCCCTTCCCACTGACCTTTGGTCCGTAGAAGGCGCCGTCTCCTGGATTCAACTCCCAACGTTCACCAAAGTGCTGCAGACTCCTCTCCAACTGCTGCTCCCACACACACACACACACACACACACACACACACACACACACACACACACACACACACACACACACACACACACACACACACACACACACACTTACTTACTTGCTGTGTGTGTAAGTAGGCATAGTAGATAATGTAAGTACATTATTACAGCCATGTTGGCGGGAGCTTGGTACCATAATGTTCAATTACACTCAATTGAATGAGCTTAAACTGCCGCTGTGCCTATTTAAAAGGTGTCCATGGGGATGTAGAGATGAGGCGGAGCAGATCTCTACTGTAAGGTCCCACTCGTATAGCTGATTGTGGATATCATGACACCATGTCATTTAGTTTACAGATGTTTTTCTGTAGCTGTGATTAACTGGGTCCAGATTACAATCCATACACATTTGTACAACAGCTGGGCCTGCCTAAGACTACATGTGATTTTGGCAAACCACACTTAAGTGTGTGTGTGTGTGTGTGTGCGTTTACCTGCTCAGCATTAACCCACTGTTCAGGCTCCCCGAGGCACGGCTCAGGACGTGTAGACAGGAGGCAGTGGAAGGAAAACCCAAACACTTGATACACACTCCTCACAAAGTCCAAACATGCCACAATCTCTTCTTCCAGCTGGACAGACAGAATGAAAAAAAAAAAGATGGCATTGTATTTACTGTAAAGCCTCCATATATTGAGTCAGTATTTTTGAAGCTAACAGACTGATGATTATCCTGTGACTATGATCTCTGTGAATTAACAGGATGCCAACAGAAAGTCTGCAGGAGCGCAATGAGTATCATGGGAACGTTCCAGAGCACTATGTAGGGGATCATGATTACACAGACTGTAGAGACACCGTGATGCACATATGGAGGTGTAATGTTTGAACGGGACAAAGACCTTCATTCATCCTAACGGTGGCCTCTTGGAATGTCTCGGGAGTTATTTGTACAGCCCATCTAATCACTGTAACGTGGTCCCGCATGTGTCCCACTCACTTTCTACCCCACTTACAGCACCTTCTGCATCTGCATCAAAACAATGTAAGTTAATACGTGTTCTCTGTACCTGCTCAGGTGTGCAAAAGATGTGAGCGTCGTCCTGGCAGAACCTTCGAACGCGAGTGAGACCTCCCAGCGCTCCGGAGAGCTCATTGCGATGCAGCGCCCCGAAGTCGGCCCATCGCAGAGGAAGCTCTCTCCACGAGCGGACACGCTGCTCGAACATAAGACTAAACGCGAGAGAGGAGAGTGAGGTTAGGGTTAAGGTTCGGGCTGGGGTCAGGCATTTAGCTGTGATGGTTAAGGTAGGGGGGTAGGGAACGCGTTATGTCAAACAGTTTCCTGACAAAGACACAAGTACAAGGTTGTGTGCGTGTGTGTGTTCACCAGTGTGCAGGACAGTTCATGGGTTTGAGAGCGTAGGTCTGAGAGCCCTCCGATGTCACAGTGAACATGTTCTCGCTGTAGTGCTCCCAGTGACCCGAGCGCTCCCATAATGCAGTGCTGTACAAAGTCGGGGTCACGACCTCGTTGAATCCTCGCCTTCGGTACTCACCCTGCAAGACGTCAGGAAGGAAGGATGTGTGTGACAACGAGTGCAGGACGGGGGCAGACAACAGTGCAATAATTGAAGGCTAATAAGAGCAATGTCCTGATGTGAACATGCGTGTCCCCCGGGATACAATCACACAGCATCATTTATTGTGATGTTAATTATTAGGTTTGCATAATCAAATTAAGACGTGTGGGGTAATTCAGTTTTAGTTGCACAAGCAGTGCTGAACAGGGTTGTAAAGGTTCATTTCATTGTAAGTGGCTGCAGATCCAATGTGGCAGAAGGAAAATACAGAATACCAAAGTCATTGTATTGTAACTTTATATAACTGAAATCTGCGTTCATCCTTTCGCACCGAAGCTAAGCAATAGCTTGTTGAGTTTGAGGGTTCTCTGACATTGTAATGAAACTTGGGAGTGTCTTCAGTCATTAATCAGGCTGTGAACTGTATCATGTGAATGGGAATATGAATGGAAAAGTTCCGTCACTGAAAACTTGGAAGTTACAAAGTTCTCTTATTAAATGCCCTAATATAGAATAAAGACTACAGTCAGATTACTGTAGGGAATTCACACAGAGTCAGTGACTGTGTTCACCTTAATGAAGTCGGTGAGGCTGTTGTAGATGTAGGCTCCTTTAGGCAGGAAAAAGCAGCTTCCTGGACTCACGTCATTAAAGAAGAAGAGCTCCTGGTCCTACATAACAACATGAACACATGGCATTTATGATCAGAAAACAACTCTTTAACCATTTGCTTCTTTAGGTGATCTCATTTATTGCACCTCTCCTAATCTAGATTCCTTCTTACTGTCCCGATGCGTCTGTGGTCCCTCCTCCTCGCCTCCTCCTGCTCCCTCTCCCACTCCTCTTTGTCCTTCTCTCCTGGAAAGGCCACACCCAGAAGACGCATCAAACCCGACGACTCCGTCTGATTGGCCAAGGTCACGGGCGACAGCTGGGATGTTAAAGAAGCGCAGTGAGGAGAGGTTGGGGAGAAGAGAGGGGGAGAGAAAAATCAGCCGACAAAAAGAGAAAGGGAGAGTGAGGGTCAGCCAGAAGAGGAAGGGTGAACCGATGAGAGCGACAGCTCGTCTGATGGACGGCAATGTGTTTGTAAAGGCCGAGAACAGGAAACAAACACAACATCCTGCTGCTAATATTTCCAGCCTGGCTGCTATGGAAATCCAGTCTGCCCAGTGGCAGCCCAGTACGGAAACTCCTCCCTCTTCCTCGATCAATAAAGACGAGGAAGTTTCCATTGACCCGGACTGTGCTATTTAGGTCCAAATAAAACATTCCTTTACAGATTAGATGAGGTTAATTAAGCCACCATCTTGAATGATCCTGTGTGAAATTAAAATTCTTAAAGATAATGTTTGAACCTCTTTAACAAAAAGTAATATTAAGCAGAAAAATAGAGGTAGAGCTCTGCTAGAGGAAACCTTGATGAGCTTTCAGGGGACTGGCGTAATTCCTAAGATGAACTTTGATAAAATGACTAATGTACAAGGCAAATTTAGGAAACAAAAGGAGGGAACTGAAAGAGTGAGAGTACATACAATCCCAAAAAGGCAAGCAGAGGACAGGACAGTTACACCAACACACACCTGGAGCGTCTTGAAGACCTTGAGGAAGCCAGTGTGTGGGAGGAGGGGGCCGTCGCAGACCCCTATGCTGTCTCCACACCTGAGTCACACAGAGAGGATGAAACAGGTTTCATTTTGGGTGAGATTTTATAAGATACTGCAGGTCAGTCAACACATCAGGTGTGTGTGTGTGTGTGTATTAATACCTGTACACTGTGACGGAGGGGCCGTTCATCTGCTCCTCAACGAGCTGCAGTCTCAGCTTGTTGTTCTATAAGAGGTACAACCCACAAAACACACACCACAGTTTATCACAGTTTAATATGGACAGGAGGACAATAGGAAGGGGCCTGACCTCACAAAGGGAACACTGGGACATTAGAAAATATCAGCAGCACACCATTAACAGGAGCCCATCCTACACAGTGAGTAACTTATATAAACACTCAGTTACACAACCTGCAGCAGGTACAGAGCAATTTAGCATTGAAGAATGATGGTCTGCAATTACATATGGCACCAGAGCACAAAGATCTTTCATAACATATTGTTCTGCTAATTCTTAGTCTCATTGTGAGTATTGTGCCCAGGTACAATCAATTCATGAAGACATGTGATTGCAGGAAGGCAAAGGTGTAATAACTAACATGTATACAGCTGCACATTTAGTTTTGCCAGTTCCAGGGACCTGGTTTAGTCCTTAACCCGTGTCTAGACTGCAAACGTCACAAAAGCATCAACACAACACTGAAGTCTAAACCTGTTTCAATCCTAAAATGTCAAAGGATCTGTGGAGTGTGCGGTTGTCCTCCGATATGTGCGAGTATTCATCACCTATTTATCGATTACACTGATGCATACGATTCATCCATAATTTCACTCTAAACCTCCCGCGAAGTTGCCTATTTTCATATTTACCCTTCATTACATAGCCATAGGGGGACGTCACGGTTTACAAAAGCAATGTTTGTCTGATTAAAAACGTGATTTAAAAACGCTTTACACATCAAATACAGAATCAGTAAATAAACATGCCATTGGAAACAATAAAATCAAAGGTCAGATAATTAAATTAATACAGATAATATAATAAAAGTTTAATAATCAAAATGATAAAATAATGACAAAACCTTAAAATATGTAGCGCATAGTAGTAATGTTGTAAAGTAGTAGTGTTTGATTGGGCATTAACCTCGCCGTTACGCACATATTGTCGAAAAACATTAACTTGAAGCGTAAAGAAAGGATTCAGGACGCGGTTACGTCAGATAGACGCAGCTGAGACGAGAGTCTGCAGCCGGTGTCGACAGCTGTACAGATTAACGTTCGAGCGAATCAGTTTGAGTTAGAAGTGCAAGTGGAAAAAACGCATCTGATACGCTTGCAGGGTTCGATACAACAACAAATCAAACTGTCAGAAATCTTGCCCTACCTGTTTATCTACATCATTTCTCCCCCCCCCCCCTCCTATCTTCACCCGGGCTCCAAGGCCGCTACACTAGACTCCCTGTCTCAGTGACGTGAACAACATATGGGGCGACTGTGGCTAAGTGGATAGCAGGGCCGTCTTTCAATCAAAGGGTCGGCGGTTCAATCCCCGGCAGGATAAAAGCATCTGCTAAATGACTGTAATGACAATGATACGGGCCAATATCACAGTATGAATGCGAATATACATGGATACATTTCGAATTATGGATGTGATTGATTTTACACAAATATACTTCAAGACACAAATACATTTTTCTCCCACACTGTAAAACACTGGTATATCTGACCTGGAAGAGCTCTCGGACCTCTTCTGTATTCAGCTCCAGTCTGGACAGAGGAAGCTTGAGGGCTGCAGCCTGTTTACATCTCTCCTCCACGTCACTCAGAGACAAGGCACTGTGTGTGTGTGTGTGTGTGGAGAGGACAGAGTAGAGGTCATTACAGAAGCACTGAATAATGTAGTCAACAATCTTAAGAGTACTGCTGATTAAACACAGACGGCAGGGGAGGGAGGCCAAACATTAATACAGAAATACTCTGGAGTTCTGCATCAGAGATAGTGACGTGAATACCTCACCTGTTATGTAGTAGATGGTCACAGTAAAGCCCGAGCTCCGACGCTCCTTCTCTGCAAACCTCGGCGCCAAATGTCTTCTCCAACACTCCACCCAGGATGCACGCTCCGGTCCTCCATGCTGCCTAAGACGGGGAAGGTGGAACAGTGTAGGTGTAGAGATTAATTTATTTATTTGACGCGGACAGTGCTCAGCTTCTTAGCTGTACCAGAGTTAGCTTTAAGCTAATTAACAACTGTAGCTCCTGGGCAGGAGACGGAATAACATCGCCGTTGAGAATATAAACACTGTCGTAAAAAAACACAATTACAAGACATCATTATTCTGTACAAGAACAACATCAGCAGCAACACCAAGGTTCCACAACATTCACATACATCGAGTGTTCTGATGTGACTTTCTGTTGTAAGTCTATATATAATCTCTTGGTGAAATGTTTTGTCTTTTACCGACTTGTGTTTCATTCGACCAATAATTCCTTTGCTGACCGCAGGATGTTTTCCATTGAAGTCAAGAAAGACGCTTTTTTAGGATATTTAGATCCACCTTAAAGGTAATGTGACATAGAAGGCACGCGCAACCAGGGTGTACTACAAACAAATGAAAGAAACGGAAAAGCATTGTATGAAAAAGAAAAAAGATGGGATTACCTGTCTGCCCTCATCTGTGTCAAACCCCAGAAGTTGTAGTTCGCAGTCTGCCTCTAGAGGCCGTCCAAGCTCCCACAGCTCCCCATTCACCTTACTGACCAGCGCTCCTTTCACACTGCAAGCAGAGATGCAATAACCCTAAAATATCACTTCAGTAAGAGCAAACACAACAAGAGAACACATTTCTGTAAAATGCATTTACCGGACACTCTGAGCAACAAAGAGAGGCGTGGTGACACCAGCTGTTCCCTTTACTGTCCGGCCGTCAGCCAGCCGGATACTGAGCCGAGATTCGGAAGCTTCAGCTCTCCTCTCGTTGCCTCGTTTATCCCTGAGGGACTCAAAGAGTCGCAGACGCTCAGATGAAGCTGTGCACACCTACAGAGGGCAGGAAAGATGTAGATCAGAATCAAAAGAGGTGAGAGGATATCCAACAGCTCCACACCCAGTACAGCCTCCAAAATAACCATGAAGTTAAATAAACACCTCTCTAAACAAACTGAACATTATGACTTTCATGAAGCTCGGTTATAGTAGTTTTAACTAGGTGTACATAATAAACTGGTAACAGTGTGTGTTGATACAACAATATCAATATTGTGATGAAAGAGTGTGATTAAGCTTCAGTGTTGTCTCCTCCTCGGCATAATGGCTGCGTTACAATGAAGTGGATGACAAAATAAATACATAAAATGCCTTAAACAAACATTAGTAATTTTCTTTAGAGTAACTTTACTACCAACAACATATTACTACTTTACTTTTTTAGGAAACCACTTTGGTACCAAATGAGAGAGGGAGAGCAAGTAGAGAGTTTAGTGGGGTCACCCATATAAAACACTGTACTGTTTATAAACTACATCACAGGTATATCCAAAACAAAGTACCAAACCATGTCCTATTAGCCTAGACCTCTTAACCCTGACAGAGCACAGACTGTCCTGTTAGCTAACGTTAGCTGGAGTTACTGTAATGCAGTAATAACAAGCCTCGCGCACCTTGCTGTACCTCCTGTGCGCGCGAAGTGTCGCACGAGCTGCCGGCCGACAGATAACCAGCCGAAACAGCTGCGTCACCGCCATCCTAAAACACACACCTGCCTAAACACCCGCGCTCATTTCCCCCCCCCACATATCCCACATTGCTGTCACCCTTCTCTGCGAGCGGCCATAACACCGGAAGCACACATTAAGGACGGCAGCGGTGACGTCGCCCGCGTAAAACACATGACGCTATTGTGAAGCAGCGTGCGCGCACCCAGGCATCCACGCTGGAGCGCGCCAATACAAGGAGTTAAACATACGGGACATCTGCATGTTTTTTTGGAGGGCTAATAGATCGATGTTAACACCTAAAGCCATGCACATGTAGATCAGGTACTTTGACAGGATTGAATTATGACATTATACCTCAACACGGCCTGTGCACAACACAAGAGCACCAACAACCGCATACAGCTACACTGCGCCTGTAGTCCAGTGGTTCTCTAGTATGCAACCCAAAGTATTCTCACACAGACCTACAGCATGACGTCAGACTACAAGAATGGACAGAGCAATGTGCGCCATTATGGAGATGCGCACCTCGCATTGAGAGCCGTCTGCTTTAGACTACAGCTGCATTTAAAGCCTGTCGGTTTAGTGCCCGAGAGCATTGGTGTCTTTGAGATTAGTAGGTAAATTGAGAAAAAAAATCTAACTAATATATTACATATTTGAGGGTAACATTTTTAAATAGTTAAATATGTAATATAGTAAGTTAGAACCATCTTCACCATAGCTACTGTTCAAATTATTTCCTTAAAGTCTTCCTCGGAGAAACTATTGCAACAAAGTTTTGAAATAATAAACATCTGAAGGCCTCGTTGGATATTTTTTAACAAGTAATAACTGTGAGGGGGAGCCAGTTTAAACAAGTTAGTGAACTCCGTTAATTCTGACCAGGGACGAGAACGTATTTTGATTGTCACCATTCTCAGAAGTATAAGTACTACTGTAAGAGTAGTACTCCAGTGACAGTAGTACTGTAGTTACAGTAGTACATTAGGAGACACTGGTTCGACGTAAGACAGAGGAGCTGAAGTACCGCTGAACTGCCACTTGGGGGAGCTACAGCACTTTCAAAGCGCGTGTACTTCACCTACATAGCAAATAGTGTATTATTATTTTTAAATACTTTGAAGCACCTGGTTTAAATACTGTGCATTCAGACAGCTCTAAATAAGTCTAAAAACGTGACTAACTGGCCCCATCTAGACCTCCTGTGGTTGAACCCAATCACTGATGAAGCCTATATGGATACATAAATATGGGACCACCTTAAGGATTTGCTATTATTTCACTATATCTTAAATATACTGGAAAGCACACAAGTGCTACACGTTTACGAGCAAGAGACCTGCTGTCAGTCAGATGACCTAAAAAGGAGAGCTGCTGGTTTTGCCTGATGTATCTGTATTTAACATTAAGGACCTAACTTGGCTGTTAACATATTAATGACCTTAACATTTCGCATTTTTTACTGTTATCTGTAGAATAATGGCACAGAGGCCATAATGTATATGAATGCATTTAGTTATTTCATCCTTACATATTAACTCAATTTAAAAAAAAGGTTATGATTTACTAATAAGTGTAGTTGCTTCGTGTTATTCTGTTAATGTTGTGACTGAGTCATGAAACGATGTCACAATGTATTCAGTGAATTCAGTAAATGCGTTCCATGTACTGTGATGTTCAATAAAATGTAAATAAAGATGTAAAGCTGACATCAGTGTCACAAAGTTCCTAAATGGCATTTCTAAAATGTGGCTTTCCAACAACAGTGTGCATCGTAGTGTGCAAATGTTTAGCAACAATCAAAAACAAAAAAAGAAACGGTCCGTCTTCTCGAGGAGGTAATAAGAGAAAAGTTTGCGAAGCGGTCTTTGCAAGCGGAGAAAAAGTCATGGAAAACAGCAGATCTCCATTATTAAATGAAGACAGAGCACCGACTGCTTACAGTCAACGGGGCAACAACAAGCAAAATGTCAGATATACTAAAGTATGTGAGGAAAATGGCTGCAAGTCACTCCTTTGGACTAAAGATTGTAGTCTTGTGATCTGTAATATGCTTTGTGTAAAAACAAAAAAACAAAATAAAATATGAAGATGTACTCGGGTCTTAAAGTATGCATATATTCACTATGACAGTAGTAGAATGAGTGCATGTTTATCACACCAGAAAGGATTGGACACTCAAAGACCGGGGATAAAGCATCATTGATGAGAACAGCAGTAAGAGCAATTCAACTTATCAAATATACACAGACCATCGGCTTTGTCACATCTTCAATTGAAATGTTGAACTTGGTAGGTGCTTCAGTAAGCAGGAAGATTTTTACAACAGTTAATCTGGCTTCGACTGTGTGACACGTGAACACACCAAACTGATTAGGGTTGATATTTAGCAGTGAGCGATCAGATAAAAGACAAACAGTTTACAGAAGGTGGTAACAGACTTGTATAACATTCAGTAAAACATCAGAGCTCTGATGAACTAACACTGTGGTGACAAATACACTCGGTGTGGTTACATTTTAACAATGTATCAAACTTTATGTGGAAACGTTTAGCAGGTGCTCAGTCTTTCTTGATGTAACTGTGAATGAGCACAGGAGACGACAAAACACTCCACGATCAGGCAAACACAAGAGACATGAGGCTTTGAGCAGCAACACCCAGCATGCACCTCTCACTTTGTGGGCTAACCTCATCAGTGGAGAACAGAGGGAGGCATTACGGCCATAATTCCTGCACAAGATGGGAGGATTACGGATATTGTGCCGACCCTTTTTTAAGTGTTGAGAGGTGCACAAGTGTTCCTGGACGAAGCCATGTGAGCACAAGGTAAGCACAGGGGCTTGAGGGGGAAAGCATGACTTAAGCAGCTAAAAAAAAAAAAATATATATATGAGGAAGGGGCCAAATACAACTTGAGTATTCAAATAAACCATTTTCAAAACTCCTCATTAGCTCAATTGTTTTACCATTTGTGGGCGCTGCTGCAAAAGGGAAATTGCCAATTCTGTCTCGCATAAAAATACAGCGCAAAAAAAAAAAGAAGGCATTAAATGTTAATGCATTATGAAAATGGCAGCAGCAGCTACGTAAATATATGAAAACAATTTCTCTGAAAAACAGGCAGAAAAATCAGCTGAACAGCGCAAATGCATTATAACAGCGCAATTCAAGGTAATCATAGTGACCAAATAAAATGCCCCCTCCTCCCCGCCCCCCAGTCGAATTGAAACTGGATTTTATTCAAGTCAGTACATGTTGAAGCCGAGCAAGAGTGTGGTTCAAAAATGAAATACCTCCCCCCCTCCCCCTCACCGCCTGCCCCCGGCCGTCCACTACCGAGAATCTTCATGATTCAGTCTAACTTGAAGCGCGCACAGGCAGACCTTTATGTTGGAAATAAAAATACATAATTATCTTCACCCTCCTCTTCTGCGTGGTGGACAGAAAGGTGCGACAGACACTGCAGAGAAACTCTTCTGGAGCTAAAGCTTATCCAAGGCCTCAATCACAGTAAAGACGGGGCGCTAGATTGACGACCATTGTCCTCGTTAACAGAAACAAGAGCTTGAAGAGGGGGAAAAAAAAAGATGTCATCTCAGTTTTTTATATTTACAAGCTTAGAAATATACAGTGGGAGAGATGGGAGGGTGAAAAAGGTTCGAGCAAGAGAAGAAGATTATTTACAGCAGGTACTCCGGAGATATGAACAAGCGTCGACCTCGGCTGCAACACAAATCTCATCACTTCAAATGAGAAATACCGTGTTAGGGCACACGGCGCACACCCAGACACGCAGAGAAGAAGAGATCACTTTGGAATTTTAAAGGAATGACTTGACATTTTGGGAATTGCAGTTATTGGATTTCTTAAGAGTTAGATGACATATCTGTTAAATATGAAGCAGAGGACAGGAGACCATTAGCTCAGCTTATTATAAAGACTGGAAACAGCAGACAGCTAACCTGGTTCTGTCTAGAGGTAACAGAGCTACTTCCTGGAGTCGTGACATATAATTCCATGTATAACAACTTGTCATTTTTACACTTACATTTTTATATGGATTAAACAAACATCCCACGTGTTAATAAGTGAACTTTAGAGGTGTTAATTGGAGTCTTTTTCTTTAAGATTTAGACAGATCCAAGGCAGCTCTTCCCAGTCTTTATACTAAGCTAAGCTAAGCGGCTCTGGCTGTAGCTTCACATTTAGCACATATGAGACCCAAATAAGCTTATTTCCCCAAGATGTCAAACTATTGCTTTTTTATTTTTTTTCCTGTGTATCCTATGAGACCCAAACCTCTGCTCCGCTCTCCTGCTCTCTCTCAGTTAAGTGACCCAACATTCACACAAATGGGCAAGCACTAAATAAAGAAAAGTTTCATTTCTAACTGAACTATCTGCATTTTCTTCCTATGGTTAGAGAAGAGGTTTGAGAAATGGGATAAATGGGATGGATGGAGGGTTGCTACACAACACTCTGCTCCGTGTGACTAATGTAACCTCGTAGCTGCACTGTACAGTGTAAGATGATTGGCTGGCTGCCTAGCTGAAGCATGAAGATTTAATCCACTATTTACACACAACCTAAAAGGTAGTTTTAATTCAAGCTAATGAACAGAGAAAAAAATATCTGGGCTCATACCAGCAGGGCTAACACACACTCTGCACTTCAGTGCAGGGTGCTTGCACTTCTCACACCGCCTGTGTTAGATGACCACTTCAGTAGCGTGGGGGTCGGAAGGGTCTCTTCTGCGAATGGAAGGGACCACCTGTGTACGGAGGACCGGACCGCTTGCCCCCACGGTAGCCCCCCATGGGACGATCTTGGTTAAACTGCTGAGAGGGGTTTCGGCCCCGCAGCAGAGGTCTCTGTGGGATGGGGACCGAGAGCATGGGGGGTCGAGGACTGGGCAAGTTGAGCAGGGGAACGGGGTTAGAGGTTTGCTTGCGGGGCTGAGCGGGAGGACTAGTGGGGAGAGTGTCGACCGCAGGGGAATTAGGCGTGGAGGGAGAGGGAGTGGAGGATGTGGGAGAGTGGGGCGGAAGAGGTAGATTCAGAGGCTCCTTCACTCTGCCCAGTAAGGGTAGGGGAACACCAGGGGTACCTGGGCGGTGGAGAGGGGGGGCATGGCGGGGGACAAAGGTCTCTTTAACGGTGCCAGGGCGGGGCAGCTTAGGGGGCTCGCCTAGCAACGATCCCATGAGGGGTGGAGGACCCATTTTGCTTCCTCTGGGCCCTAGTCCACTGCGATCTACACCTTCAGGTCTGACTGAAAGGGGTCGATCGACAGGGACCAGCACTCCCCCGACCATGACGGCAGTGGGCACAGCATGGTGGGTGGACGGAGGGGAAGGGCGCTGGGGCATGGGAGGTGGAGGGGGCCGAGGGATCGGCGGAGGGGGGCCGAAGAAATGGGATGGAGGAGGAGGATGCTGGTGGAGGAGTGACGGGGGAGGAGTCTGGATGTTATCCGTGTGGTAGGGCATTTGGAACGGAGCTTGGGGTGGAGGATGTGCGTGAGGATGGGACAGAGGAGGGTGGAGATGTGGGGGAAGGAGGAGGAGATGTGGGGGAGGCAGAGGCATGGAGGGGGTCATGTCCTTGGTGCCAATGTTAAGAGGAGAGGGGATAGCGTGGGTTGAGGGAGCTTCCATGTACTCCTCCTCTTCATACCACATCGCTCCCCCGGGCCGACCGCCAGCCCCTCCCCCTCGCCGAGTACCTCGGCCAACCACGCGGATGCTCTCTACCGTCTTGATGCGCTCTCCAGCGAGTGGTCGGTTCGAGTAGCCTAGAGTTTGGATGGGTGCCCCTTCGGTGTAGGGAGACACTAGTGTCTCAATACGATGGTACTGTCCCTCCCTCCCATCCCCACCTGGAGACCGTTCAGCTTTCCCCTCTCGTTTTCCACCCAGACCTCCGTCATCTGAGCCACTGCTGGCCTTACGAGAGCTTGCAGACTGTCTTCTTTCTCCAATCCCTCGGTTGTTTCCCAACATTCTTGACTGGCCGTGTTGTCCATCTTTCTTACCCTTCATGTCGTTACTGGGGGAAGAGGACACCTGCTTCCTCGCATTCATCACTTCATCGTCCTTTAATTTTGAGCCACTCTTTTTTCCAGCTCCGTAGCGTGAAGAGGAGGAGGAAGAGCTCAGCAGGTCTCCATTGCTGCTGCTTCCTGATGGGGTGATCACAGCATCCCAGGGTTCACTGCGGTAGGCTGTGGGCGAGAGGTTATGGCCTCCAGAGGACCCTAAAGACTCTGGCACACTCCCAGGTGTGTCCATGATCTCGTCCTGGGTGGGGGTGCCGGCAGCTTCGTCTCTCACTGGGGTCCCATCCACCCCATCGGGACTGACATCACCCAGAGCGAGACTAAAACCTGGATTACCCTGCAGGAAACTGTTGATTTTGGATTCTAGGCTGGGGGGAGAAACGGAAGGAGCCGAGAGGCGAGGAGGGGGCGGAGGAGGAGGAGGAGGAGGGGACAGCTGTCTCCCTTTCTCCCAGTCTCTGGTTCTCCCAGGTGTGTCTCGTTTGAGGCTGTTCCCCACGGTGGGTTTTGTTTTTGGGGTGGTTGGGGTGAGCGGGGTTTTAGCTGCGGAGGATTCTGGGGAGGTTCGGGTGGGAGGAGCCGAGGTGGCGTTGGTCACACTTTGCAGGAGAGAGGACAAAGCTGCACCAAGACAGAAAAAGGGCGGGGCAGGGGAGTCAGACATGACGACATAAGAAACAAATGAATGATTAGTAAAACGTGATAACATTTTTCATTTTAAAAAAAAGTATAGTGTATGTGTGTGTTACCTGGTGTGTTTGTTTTAGACAGAGCATTGAGTATGCCTTCAGGTGTGATATCAACACGGGACAGGAAGTTGGCCAAGTGAGGGCTCGAAGAAGTCGCTTTGGAGGCTGCTGCTTGGCCAGAAGGAGTGGTGGGTGTTCCTGGAGACGGCCGAGGTGATGGGCTAGCTGCTGGGAAAAATTCAAAAAGACAGAGGGATGCAGACCACTTTTTATCTGTGACATGGTTGAGTAGATCTACTTCATATTCCTATGGATGGGTGGAACACCGCTTGCACCGAGTGGTGATCTATGCAAAGAACATGTTTGCTCTCGTCTTCAGCAAACCTTTGAACACACCTGTATTCTTCATGGCAGATGTGAGCGAGCTGAGGATGGAGCTGATCTTTCCCAGGTCAACCTTCTCCAGATTCACGCCCATCGGGGTCGTCGGGGTGCTTTGAGCTGCAGCGGGGGTGGGAGTCAGTGGCGTGGCCGTGGCGGCAGCAGTGGCGTTGGTCTTAGAAGCCTTCGTAGGTGTGGTGGGAACCTTTGATGCTGCATCTGACTTGGCAACAGCAGTGGACGTCTTGTCCTTCTTGTCATCTGCTAGTAAAAAAACAACCAAAGAGCTGATACATCTTCAAATCGGAAGCACGACACTACAACTGGGCAGCCCAATATGGATCTATATGAAAAAGGACACCTATCGCCCCACTACAACACTCTGGAGCCACTAACCGCCTGCTGTGGCAGTGCCAGCCTCTTCATCAGACATGTCCATATCCTCCATGTGTCTGTTGTCACTGGGCATGTCTCCTTCATCCATGGCCTTGCCATCCAGCTCTGGGTCCACCTGGGCTCTGCTAGACCCTAGTCCCAGGTAGGGTGAGTCAGAGCCAGTGGGAGAGGGGGCATCTTCAGAGGGTGAGGGGATGGGTGAGTCCTCGGGTCCAGGTAAGGTCGACTTGAGGGAATCCAATTTTCTTTTAAGGCTGGCCACGCGGTTGGCAAAGGCATTGTACGCCTGAGAGAGGAAACACGAGAGATATGAGGAAGATAAAAAGGATGTTCCAGCCATCTATAGTAGCATTTAACAACAGTCATTGTTACAAAGCAACGTAGAAACAACAATAAATGTCTGTGTCACCATTTTGATTATGAACAACAAATACCAAACCGGAAACCGAACACTCACATTGGCCACAATTTTAACCTCCTTGTACTGCATCTCGTAGAAAATGTCAGCGTTTCCCAAAGCTTCCAGCAGAGGAGGCCCCGTCTTCAGCTCTTTCTCCATGAAGACGACAAACTCCTGCAGCTTCAGACTGCCGTCCTCGAAGTCCTTCGCAAACTTGTTCCCTCCTGCCTTGTCTGGAACAGGAGACAATTGATAAACAAGCAAAAAAAATGAGACACAAGATTTATACACATTCTCATATGGGTCAATAAAAGACTCCCAGTGGTGTGGCATGAAGAGGACATATCAAGTGCGTTTGTGGCTTAAGACATACAGCACACAGGATATAGTATATAAGTTATATATGATATAAGTATAAGAAGTGTGTGATGATGCAGAAAGAGCTCGGTGACATCCCACCTTTGAGTCTCTTGAGAGCCTCCGTGCTGCAGACGTCTACCCGGAGAGCTGCCAGCTGCTTCTCCCTGAACTCCTCTTCTGCGACTGCTCGCTTATAACTCGACAACTGCTCGATGAGCGAGTGGGGCTAGAAAAGAAACGGAGTGCAAAGAGATAAGTGACAGAAAGTACAACGCTTTAGATATTTGCTAACACAAACAGTTACAAAAGTTACACAAGACAACAGCAATGAGTAGGGATGGGTATCGTTTGGATTTTTTCCAATACCGGTGCTAAAACGATACTGGCGCCTAAACTGATACTTTTTTTTTTTTTACAATATATTAACTGTTTAAAGTATACTATAAATATAAATAAACACAAAACACTTGGCTTCAAACTTTTTAACTTCAAACTATGAACAATATATTAACTGTTAACAGTTTACAGTATACTTAAATAATTAAAAATAAATACAAAACACACACACACTCTGTACACACACTACAGCTTCAAATTCAGCAATTATTTTGCAGAAATATGAGCATATTTGCCTTCTCTGGCAAAATACGACACGCCACATGACTTGTTTTATTTTACCAGTTGGTGGCGGTAATGTGCCAATTCGTCGTTTGCCAACCGCCACTACACCTCAAAGAAGAAGAAGAAGAAGCTTTCGCGTGTCTGTGGATGTTGTGCTTATGAGCGGGCAGTACCCCGTTGTAATAATACTATGAGTGAGGAGCGGAGGACCGAGTCTATCGTTACCTGCTGCCAGGAGGGAGTCATCAGAGGAGTGTAAAAAAAGTATTTCAATCGGCTCAGGCACCGAAAGGAAGCACCGAAATCTGCGTTGAGTTTCGGTCCGGTAGATACCGGTCGTATAGGAACCAGGAACCATATTGGCACCGCTTTTCGGTACCCAACCCTAGTAATGAGCAAGACTTACTGTGAACTCTGCTACAATCTTGGACTTGAGGGCAGCTTTGGTGCTGGCTGGAGCTGGAAAGAAAAACATCAATTGAACACAATCAGAACTGTAAATGGTTTGAAATAAACAATTATGTGACTCAAGTTTTAGGAAGTTATTTAACTTTTTAAAAACCTTGAAGTACCAAACTGACCAGTTGCCGGTGGAGTCTCCTTTTGTTTTTCCTTTTCTTTCTCTTTCTCCTTTTCTCTCTCCTTTTCCTTCTTCTCCTTTTCCTTCTCCTTCTGCTTCTCCTTCTGCTTCTCTCGTTCCTTTTCCTTTTTGTTGAAGCCAGCTTTAAACTGGGCAATGACCTCTTCGGGGTACACGCTCCTCTCCTCCCAAATTGTAAAAATCCTTTCCACTGACTTGCGGACTTTCCCATCTCTGACAACGAAAGAAGGAAACGTACCATGGCACATGTCAACACCAGAAGAACGGGAGAACAGACGTATTCTTATTTCAGCTGTATTGCCGCGTACTCACCTGATAAACTGCGCGGCACTAGGAAGGACTTCTGCGAAGGCTGCGCGAAAGACAATGGCATTCTTTCTCTTGCAGTTCTGTATCACGTCGTTGGCGAGGTAAAAGAGATTCAAGCGGTGATTGTTGTCAGCTGAAAAAGAAGAAAGTTTGAGCTCATTTAGAACCAGTGATGCATCACATAGCCGTTTTTCTGTAAAAACGTCCCGCTCAGCACATAATTAAAAAACACATCTTATGGATCGTTATCATACAGCTCGTGTTTTTGTGAAAGAATATTAATTAACATTGGCCAAAATGCAATAATGACAATTTTTGATGTATATTCACAAACATATCCACTGATGCAAATACAGCTCTGAAGTGTCACCTGTGCTGCATTCAAAAGCCGTAATGGCATCTTAATCTATTAAACTACTGTCGGGCTGAAGACGGTGCCTGTTTTAGTTGGTACGATCAGTTCAGTCATACATTTCCATATCCAAAAGAAATACAATATTGGCAAAGATCCAATGATTTTCACCGCTTCCTAAAACAGATCCAGCAGCCTGACTTTAGCAGGCAGGATTCAATTACAGTCAGTGAGCTGGATTTCACATTCTGTTACATTTTAACAGAGGTCAGCATCTTAGTTGGTTCGTCTAAAAGACACAAGATTCATCAGTTCAATCAGCAATTAACTGGTCACTGCAGTCTATGCAAAGAAAAAAAATCTAAAGACCAGCTCCACAAGGTAAAAACGAAAAGGAAAGTACATGAAATGGGGAAAAAAGACACTTTGCAGTAAAAACTGATCGAATGAACTACCTAAGGGAGTTAATATTATTAACATAGATCAAATATCTCATATCAGCACATACTGACAATATAAAAATTGTTGGCAACACACAGATATCCTTGATAAAATATTTTGAGTTGTTTTCAGCATTAACTATAAAGTTTTTTAAAACAAACACATATTTAAAAACAAGGCTGATATCACATTTTCACAAATATGCCCCAAACATCATGTGAGTGACGCGAGTTGTTCATACAGCGCCTTGAGTATCTATGAACAGATGAACGAACCCTTCTCTCTCCCCCCCCTCTCTCTCACTCACACACACACACACACGCACACACACACACACACACACACACACACACACACTACATTTCTCCAAAAACAGTATCTGTACTTCTATTCCACCATTCAATGCTGAAACAGTTTGCAAAATTCACTTGAAAAGCTCCTAAATGACAAAGTGAAACATCAAAACACTGAAAAGTGACGATGCAACACCACCTTATTTAGGCCCTTTGTATGTCAAACATGAAACATTTTAGGAATAACTACTTGAAAATAATATTCATGCCAAAAGGAGTAAAATATGTGCAAAAATTGAAGTTATTATTTGCTCACACTTCTGAAACAAACATGCTGGACAGTTTAACACCATCTGTCTTTGTAGTTTGTGAACGTCATGCTATGAGCCTTTCTGTGCAGAAACCTGAGGAGGAGTTTATTTCATATAAACTATGTATAACAACACAAGACTGATATTTGATGTATGCTTCCCCTAATACAATGAAAGGAACAAATTCAACAAAGCATTTAATATTGTTCTACTTCAAAATGTATTATTGATAAATATTTGTGTATTTTCTGAAAATTGATTTCCCTAAATATAGCTTTAACCCAAAACTTTCAAAAACGTAATCAATACAAGATTTTATAGTAATATTGAAATAAATGGCAAACGTTCAAACTGAACATTGAAGCAATAAAAACAGAACACTTCCTTCTTTCAAAGGCACCGTTTTGCTCCCTTTTGTGATTGGATTGAGATTCATCACAAGCAGCTACATTACATGAAGCTTGATGCCACAAATTAATTTGGGTAGCAACACTGTGCTTTAATATACTAACGCACAGGACATGAAACTACACTCAATCTTATTAGGTTGCATCCTCACTGAAAGTAAAGAGTATTTACCATTCAACCATTCAGTCAGACGATATCATATTTTAGTTGTTTACTTATTTATTAAACCTTTACTGTGTGATTACGTATTTAATTTGACTCGTTTTAATCTTGTTTTTCTACTTGTTTGTTTGTTTGCTCTATCCACTCTGCTGCTGTAATCGTGCAAATTAGAAAAACTACAGTTTCGTGTTTAGTTTACCAAACACAACTTATGCTGCAAATATAAACTGCGTGTTGGCAGTGGTGCTCAAAGATATACCGCGGGTATTTATAATCGTCCACACATCCGAAGCTCTTTTTCATCACAGAAGAGCTTTTGGTGTTTTTTTTATCATTACTATTCACAAGTAATAAACTCCAACTTTGAAATAAAATGAAATAAAAACTACATGACATACCAGACTAAAAGTCAGGCAAACTAATGGATTTCTGCAGTATAAGAAAAGAAAAGGAAACCTGCTGTGTGCTTGGTTGGCATGGACTGTGTTTACTCACAATGCTTCTACTTGGTACCTTGTCGCTTACAGCCAACAATAAATGACGATCAGTAGATTGACTCTTGGCCCCGCTCTCCATCAGAAAACAATGGCTGAGCCAGTGCACAGCAGTTTGCAGTGAGCCGTCAGCACAACCTTTCATCATGCGTTGCTCTGTTGGCAACGATGCGCACCGAGAAGAAACGTCTACGTCAATCATTCCCAAATACATTCGCAGAATTTCTTCCAGAGTCTTTTATTTAAGATTTATATCTGCAACACACCTTTGAGTGCTGCGAGGGAGCCTGAATGTTCGTATTGTTCTGATTCTACGTATAACATTGAATCTACTGTGAAAGGCTGCCGTACATTCAGTGCGTTTTGTTGATGCGAGGAAAAAACGAAAGCCTGTTAACTCCATCTAAATGCATTTATATCATTAAGTCAAATGTTGTTTTCTTTAAAGTCCGTCCCCAAAACAAAAGTTTGAGAAACACTGGTCTACATGATGATTTGAGTGAGACAGTTAAGACTTTAAGTTTTTCAGGGCACAATAAAACTCCATTACAAATGCAAACAAAATGTTTTTCTAATGTTTCAGCAGTCAGATTAGCAAGAAACTGTTTTAGAAACTCCTCATTTCAGATGATTCCATAATGTGAATTATTTATTTGGCTTTTAAAATTTGTACTTTTCGCATTTTATACGTTTAACTCAGGTTAAGATTGGAGAACAATTTTTGAAATAAGCATTTTCCTGCTGCAGATGTGAGGGATCCTTTGCATCTAGCTTTCATGTAAATGTACCTATAAGAATTTATGATGACTCGTGTTTTTACACACATTTCATCGGGTTCCATAAATCAAAAAAAACTAATTAGCATCATGCATCAAAGGCAAATGCAATCAAATATCTTTTTTTAATCCTACTCAAAACAAACACGAGGTAAACATGATATGTAATAGCAGCGTTGTGATATTAACTTCATGATAATAGGTCATCAAACTTCACACAAATTAAAACTATCTGCCACTTCTTTCCAAAAACCAGACGGTAAACTAAACCTTCCAAAACCCTCTGATGAGTAGAAACAATATAAAAGCTCAAATGATAAATAACACCTCCATCAAACAGTTGCAACATCAATTACATTTATTCCTGCATTCACCGACATCAACGGCCACAGCACTAACTATGTGGGGTGATGAAATCTACCGAATCAGTCGCTCCAACGTTTAAAAAAACAAGTCCGCATATAACACAATAATTCCTCCACAAACGTTTAGGATTATTATGGTCTACAAAGTGTTGTTAGAAACCATGCAAATGTCTGTAAACCTATTCAACTAAATGCATTTTGTAGTTCAAAATAGCAAAAAAATATTACTAGAGGACAGGAAGCGACCAAACACACAAAGTGACCCGTGCAGACGAAGATAAACTGATCATACTGTCGTCTGTCTAAGAGCTAAACAAGTGAGAGCAGTTCAGTGGCTTTCCCACTGTGTTACCTCAATTTAATTAACTCTCTCACAGAGTCACAACAGCGACTATGTTTGCTTTCATGTTAATGAAGTGAGATGCTGTACAAGCGTTGTGTAGGTATTGCAAAGAATTTCAAATGCTGCATGCAGGACTCATACTACCTCATAGGAGAGCTATATGGAGATGTGTTGCAGTCAATAGTAAGAAGACAAACTGGGATTTCAAACATAATCCAGAATAATATAAATGACTTTGAACAGATTAGTGAGGGAATAAACAACTACCCAGAGTTAGATAACGAGGATTAACACTTGTCAGATTCCAGTACCACTAGTTTGTAAGACTATCTGGTGACACACCGTCTACTTGTGATGTTTCCTTGACAAGGAACCTTTGCCAAGAAACCTACTTTGTTTCAAGTGTTACATGAACACAGTAACATCAACCAGGTTAAATAGCTTGAATGTGCCAGCCTGCCTGGTCAACATAAGCCATTATAGTTACTATAACATTTATATTTACTTTAAAAGTTTAACTGCATCCAGTTAGGTATATTAGGAATATACAGTAGGTTGGTAAGAAACCACTATGAAGCAATGACAATTTAGTAAATAAAGTTGGAGGAAATATTTTAGGGTGCTGCTGTCAAGTGCAGCAACAATTTGCAACCCGACATTGAAATGCAGATTGTTTATGACTCGTGTCATACTAAGTAGAACATTTACGATATAATTCTGTTATAGTGTACTTTCATTTTAGCTAGTTTAACGGTATATATACAAATATATACCACCGCATCACACCAACAATCATGTATGCAGGACGACTAACCGTCATCCGAGAAGTTAAACCTACAAAACACCGACAAAAGCTGATCTTTAACATAATCTAACTAAACACATTGTAACCACCTTCAGTTCAAGTGTTTATTCTTTGACACATGCAGTGCATGGCAGATTTCTTCGTATCGGTGTAATCCAGGCCATGAGCCCCGGGAGGCCCGACTGTAAACAGAGCTAGCAGTGAGACCGTCACGCTAGCAGCGAAACGTTAGCTTAGCTTAGCTAGCATTAGCGGCTAATTTTAAGTGGCGATTACAACGCCAGCCCCTTCAAAAGTGCAGTAAAATATAAATGTATGATTCGCATCTCAATCATTGTTTATTTTTGCACCCAATTGCTTTACACTTCACACTTCAAAGCGATCACAAGACGCTGAATTTGGAAAAGTCGATCACGGTCAACGCAGAGACGCATTTGAATTGGCTAAAGTGGGCTAGCTAGCGGCGAGCTACTCACATTTCTTGAGCCACTTCATCCAGTGGCGCACGATGAGGCCGTGGTGCTTTTTGTTTTCAATGCACCAGTTCGATTGACCCTGTATTGACTCCATGGTGTTGGATACTCCTTGAAGCCGTCGGTCTACAGACGCTTCCAGGCCAGCGTTGGAGCTGCGCGCTCCGTGCCCGCTTGCAGCTCCTGAACCGGCCGCCATCTTTCCAGCTCTGTCTGCTGATGGCTCGCTGCTGCTGCTGACGCGCGCGAGGGAGTTAACGTAATGAGGACGATTAGAAACACGCCCACGTGTTCGTGCTACTTTATCATAAGGACATAAATGTACTCGCAAGTGTACGTCACCGTGCACAACACATAATAAAATAAGTTATCTGATGTTAAACAATGCGCGGGAGTAGTTTCCAACTGACGGAGAAAAAGAGACAGAAGTCGGATGAATGTTGTTTATTTAAGGCTGTCACTGTAACGTTAGTGAGAAAAGTAACGCTCTGCTACAGGTGAGTTATCCATTTGCTCGTTTCTCCAAAATAAAAATAAAAAAAGTGGGAGCTTTAAATTCAGTGAAATGTACCAGTAAGTACTACAATTAGTTTGGGAACAATTTGAAACATTACTCAGGAATCCTTCCAGGTTAATACTAAACATGTGGTCACTCACTTATTGGGCATTTGTTTTATTAACTACTTTTACTCAAACATGGTACCATTATCAATGTACATGTGGGTTTTGTCACAAAAGTCTAGTCATCACAAAAAGATTTGAGTCATTGATTTACATCACAGTGCAATCTGTCATGTTGTATTATGACAAAATAGCCTACCAACAAAATGATGAACACTGATGCAGGCATACACACACACACTCACGGACGCGCGCGCGCACACACACTCTTGCAAAAGCATCCACACAGGTTTATTGTTCCTCCATTTCTATGTTCAAGTCTCTTGATTATGTCTGTCCTCAGTTAAAGGCAGCCAGTCAGTAGTGAGGGCCACCTGGCTGTGAGGCTGTGGGTCTTGTAGAAGGGGGAGTTCACTGAGGTTTCAGTCATCGGGGTTGTCCAACACACTCTTGCTGAGAGCCAGATCCCAGTAGTGTTCTGTGCCGTGTTTCTTGAAGTGTTCTCTGGCCATGTTCTCTGTAGGGCACTGCTTGAACTTCATCTCCCCAAAATTGCGCTCTTTAGCTGTGCCCTGGAGAAGCAAGAGGAATCATTAGACTTGAATGAGATCACACACACAAAATCAATTAAATATAGTTGAAATAAGACCGGATGTGTGAACACTCACATTCCAAATTAACCAGCACTTGTTGTTCCTCTTTGTGTCATCGTCACCGTCTGGATCTAATTGAGAATTAAGAGTTCAGTATCATTGGAATTAGCACAAAGAAAAGACACAAAAGATTCAAAAGTCAAGCCACTTTTACCATCTCTTTTACTGTTGTGTTCCTCCCATTTGATTCTTTGCAACATCAGCTTCCTGAACTTTTTCTGGGATTTAGGGCCTGAAAGAGGAGGCAGAAATTTAGATCGTAAGTATGACTTTGATTATCCCACTGCTGTAATTTGTCATGGGCTAGCAGAGAGAAAAAAAAACAAAAAATGCAGACCATTTGGCCACGTGAAATAAATATCAAACCTCATAGAAGTACAGCTATATGTTTTTTTAACATGTCAAGAAATCATGTAGTCCTTCATGATGTTGTCAGTACACCGACGTAACACACTCAAAAGCTAATTGAGCACAAGAAGCTAAAACCTTGTCGAGCTTACTATCACTGTAGAGGAGATGGAATAACATTACAGCTTTAAGTCATCATGACAAAGCAGAGGGGACTCAAATTGCAAATGCAATGCAATACAAAAAAACATATTTGGGATGATAAACCAAACAGCAGACAACATTTTCTAACATTTGAGGGATTAAGTATAGTGTGACATTTGGAAAAAAGTTATGCCAATTGTATATTATTCAAGACAACATGAATGGTGAAAAAGATCAAACTAGTGATGGAAAGACACAAAATGATGTATATAGTTGATTATCACAATCTTACTTAAATCACCACACCACAGATATTTTACAGTGTATTAAAAGCACGAGCTATGATCTTTGGAAGAGACAAATCCATTTAACTCATCTCTTACCTCCCTCCACCACAACGAGGTTGACATCTCTGTGCAGAACTACTGTGCCGGTCAGGTACAGCTGGTTGGCATTGGCCTCTACTTTAAACTTCTTAGCAGGATTATGCAGGTTACGGATCCTGTACAGGGAAGGTGAGGTGCTTACATTAGACACACACTGAACTATATATTTGAACTACAGTATGGAGCAGGCTCTTGCTACAAATGCAGCCGGCCCTCCATCAAGGACTTGTACATCTCCAGAGTCAGGAAACATCACTGCAGACCCATCACACCCTGGACACAACCTGTTCCAACTCCTCCCCTCTGGTAGGCGCTACAGAGCAGCTTCTCTCCACTGGCCGTCACTCTGATGAACACTATATCAGTCCGTCTGCCCCATTATCTCCATTTACGTTGAGAGCAATGTAAAAAAACTGAGTGAAATTCCTTGTACATGTACGCATACATGGCCAATAAAGCTGAATTTAACTGCACACCTGTACACTGCAATGTGAACACCATCACTGAGGTCTTCTTTTAACTTCTTGACCTTCTTCTCCTTCCTCTGCTCCGATGTGAGCTTGCGGGCTGCATTGGCATCCTCGTGAACCCTGCAAAGATGGGAACACAATTTAAAAACAAAGAAACAATGAGTTATCGTACAAAAATAAATGGCAATTTCTAAATGAGGAGAGTGGAGCAGTGTGTCGGTTAACTGCGTTACTAACTTCTGTCTCTTGGCCATCTGCGCTCGGACGTGGGCCTCCACCTTCGTGGGGTCCTGAACGGCCTCCGTCCCCAGCACTCTCATCAGGTTGGAGATGCGTACTGAAAAAAGAAAGTAAACATCAGTAATATGTTTCATCTTTATTGTAGTAGTTTGTAATACTAGTAATGTGTGTGTGTACCTTTGGGTTCTGGTGGAGGCATCAGTCCCAGACGAACCTTCTCTTGAACTTCTTTCTGTCCCTCCCTACGTGTCTGTCTTCTTAGTTTCTTCTGTTCTTTCTTTGTCAGGTAAACGCCCAGCGTTACGGGCTTATCTGTGTCAACTGAGAAAACAAAATAGTTAAATAAAGTGAAACAATTCCAGCAAATTATGGTAGTGTTGAAACAATTTCAATTAAGACACTTCATAAGTTGTATAATGGATGGTAGGCACAGCAAAAAAGTGAAATTGCTTTCAAAAGGCTTAATTTGAAATGTTGATATAATTATCGTTACTACTTAATACTAATAAACTTACCAGGCTCATGTTAATTTCAATGCCAATTGGTATCTCTGTGAGTGCACTTCTACCTCATGAAGATGTTTATGGGACAGAAATGTTCTCCTTTTTAACCAACATACGTTGGGAGCACCTTTATCAATGTGCAGATGTTTTACCTTCCAGACACTCACCTGGAGGGCTGATTTGGGCGGGATGTTCTACCAGATTGGTCACACCAAAGAGCTCCATCTCTTCAAACATTATGTTGGGTGATCTTCATTAGATAAGAGGGGAAAGCATGACAGTTAACTACAGGAAGTTGATCGTACAGACTGCATTACTATGCATTATGCAGCTCTGCCATGGCAGTGAGAATGAGACATTTAACGTAACATAAACTAGAAGTTTCTGGGTTAGCTGTACTTTCTTACATGACTATGTTGTAGGGCAGGATGTAGGAGTCCCACCACTCAATGTTGGGCACCTGCTTATCTCCAATCTCTTTCTTAGGGGCAATCAATGCCAGCTTGGTGGAAGCCTGGATTCCTGTCTTCTTTGCTGCCTGGGCAATCTCATTCTGCAACCTTTCCAACTGGGCCTGATTGAGTACGAGATCAATGCAGGAGGGACAAAACACCATTATTTGTATCTTACGTCTATTCCAAATAATCAGAATGAGACAACTGCTGACATGTGAACGTTTTGGAGCTGAATCCAACCTTAGTTCTTATTCTCTGAGCAATCTTCTCAAAGCGTCCCTGGTCGTGGAACTTGAAGCCCCTGCGAAGGCGCTGAGCCGGTGTTATAGACACACGTTGGTCGAAGTAGGATGTGGACTCCAAGTCCTCCCCAGGCTTCTCCTTCAGCTGCTGACGGAACTGCTCCCGCTTTACCGCTCGAATGTTAGCTACACATATGGTAGAAAAGGAATTGAGGAAAACCACGGTAAGAAAATAAGACTGTGTGTGTGTGTGTATACACAGGAATTGGACCACTCTACACATACCTTTCAGTGTTGGCATGCGGTGTGTGAGTTCCACCTCTTTGCCGCTAGCATCCACCGTTCTTCCCATGTCATCCAGAATAAGAGGGGTTGGCTTGTTTATCTCCTTGATTTCAACTTTCCTATAAGAGGGACACACAGAGAAAGAGTCTATTTTCACACTGAAACATCAACAAATACACATCTCCCTGACCATGTGTTTTTTTTTTTCCACGATTTTAAAATCCTTACTACTGGGATATTACTCACGGTGGGGCAATTCCCATAGCGTGTAGATTAGCTAGGGCCACCAGGTTGTGGGGCCCGGTGTTCCCCAGGGCTCCGAGGATACCAGGTTTCATGGCTAACTGGGACTGGATGCGGGCCTGTAGCTCAGCGGCCTTGCGGGCCTTCTCGATAGCATCGTTCATAAAGCTGGCGGCCTGGGACGGGGCGATGGACGAGGTACCGCCTGTAGCTGCAGCAGCGGACGTGCCAAGAAGCCGTGAGAGTGGAGGGGCTTCCAGCTGGGACTGTGGTGTGGGAAGGGACAACCGCTAAAGTTAGTGAGAAATAATTTGCCATCATACTGAATGCATGATACTGATACTGAAAGAATTTCATTACTGGTGCAGCAGGGACTGAAGAGGAAAAGCTCAGTTGTTTCTTCCTCTCTTCTATCTGTTTAGTGGCTGCTTCCATCATCTGTTTTATCTAATAATACAGAGAAAAGGTTAGTTATTGCATCATAAAAAGGGTATTTAGGAACAATCTTTAACAGACAAAATCTCATCATTATAATCGCATACCTGCATTTTGGTAAGCATGCCGGGGCTCTCAGATGGAGGTCCGGGTATGACCTCAGGCTCCTCTACCTCCTCGAAGCGAGGGACCCGTTTCCTCTTTGGTGCCGTCATATCTCCCACCTCTGGAGTTGCTCGCACTACACCGATTTCAGCCTCATCACCAAATACATCCTGAGACCAACAGAAACACCAATATCACATGTAAGCCAAACATGTGT